TATGGGTTTGGCAACATTTTTCATCGTTTTCTTATGTCACTTTTTTAAGAGTGCCATATTTCATGTCATAATATATATATATAATATATATATATATATATATAATAAACGAAAGAAAATCAATCAATAAATCAAAAAAAATCAATAAAATGTATATATATAATATAACATTTTATGTTTTTTTTTTTTTGATAAAGTTGTTCTGCAAGTAAAATCTGCGCGAAATTTTATGTTTTTGAGTTGCTTTCGTGTTTTTTTACTTATTTCATGTTTGTAAGATATTGAGTTGCATGATTTTTCCTTCAACGGAAAGTGGTTAATTTTTTATTAGGTAATTAATATTTGATTAGGCTATAGCTATTCATTTGTAATTTTTTCTCTGAGAATATAAGAGAAATATTATATTATACTTTGCAGAATGTTTTGTTTTTTGTATTCTTTATGTTACTTATTGCTCATTTCAGTTTTTTAAGATATTGAAAAGTTTTGAGTGATATTTTTTAGGAAACAAAGTTCTTAATTCCTTTATACCTTTGAGTTCTTGGAGTTTGCAGAGGGAAGTGGTAATTTATTTATTAGGACTAATTATTTTTATTAAGGGATATTGCTTATTTCATTGTAGTTTTGTTATACGCAATAACTTTTTTATTATGAAGCTGTTCTTCAAAGTAAAATTCTAAGCAGTTTTTAAGTTTAACGTTTGGTGTTCCCTTCAGCCATTTTTCCGGTACATTTAAAAGCCAGACGAAGGCTGGCAGTGAAGCTGCTAGTAATATTAATATATGATATATGTATAATAAAAAGTTTAGAACTACTGATGTAGGAACACTGAGACGTATAAACGCAGAAATACCGATGGCACTGCACTTGTGATGAAAATGACATAGCAAATATTGATGACGCAGAACGCAGATCCCTTGTGAAGAAAAAGAATTCTAAATGCGTAGAATGCTAAAATATTGAAGGATAATCAGTGGGAAACTTGGCAGACAAGTGTAAGATTAAATATTCATTATTGTTTCAATTGACATTTGTGGCTACAATTCGCTTGGCACTCTGATTGTACCTATTGCCATATGAGAGAGCGAAGCTAAAGAGCGAAATTATAAAATATGGAAAGTTCAACAAGAGAAGGCTATGGTTTAAATTAGAAAGGTTTCAGTTTTCAAAATTTTGAGTTTAAAAACTCAGCGACTAGAGATGTAAAATTTACAGGGGATTTAAAAGAACCGCTTTCAATAAACATTATTCATAAAACTGTTACGAAAGTCATTAGAGTTAATGGATACATTTGCTGACCAGCAAGAAGGAAATTCTTCGGCAATAAAAAAGCAAGGAAAATACAACTGTCGTCCGCAAAAACGAGGACGAACAAAACTTTATCATACTGGAACAATGTTATGTTTGTAAAAAGTCTGAAATTAATATATTTGAGTCGGATGGACGAATTATTATGGGGCGAAATCCGAAAGAATTCTTGAATAAGAAAAATCTATTCCTCGGTTTCAAGCATGGGGGGGGGAAGACTTAATGGTTTGCAGATGTTTCGCTGCCTCTAGGATGAGAAAATTTCTTTGTATAGAAAACAATGCACATGAATATAAATCCGTAAATATTCATAGTGAAGACTTAAAAGCATCTGCAAAAAAATTTAGGATGTAAAATACATTCAAGTACTACAAGGATAACGATCCTAAGCGTATAGCCCTAAATATGTATTTGTGTTCTTAAACAACTACCCTTATATTATCAAAACTCCTCCATATTTTCCGAGATTAAATCTTATCGAATATGTATGAAGTGCATTAGAGAAGAGAATAAGGAAACATGATATTTCTTCGAAACATCATCTAAAGCGAAAAATCTGAAAGCAAAAACAAATTAGTTGAATCCATGCTAAAGCGCGTGAAGAGCATAATTTTAGCTAAAGGATATCTATCCACCGAAACACTGAATAACCCAATAATTTTTCATGATTTTATTAAATATAAACTGTTAGCTAGAAGTATCCGAATACTTACGTAAGTTCATTCGCATAAATTATTTTTTACAAAATATTTCCCATAACAAGCAGGTTTTAATGAAAGATTATCAATATTCATTTCGCTAATATTTATTAGCTAGTATTTGAAAATAAAACAGAAACATGAGTTTCTGAAAACAAATATGACTTATTATATATCAAATTTGAGATCAGAGAGACTTTTATACCCTACCAGCTTGAAAGCGTGTTATAATAATATTCAAAGAAAGTAAAAATCTTATGCCCCAAACTTTTCATCTCTAGAAAATGTAAATAAGAAGAAAATTGAAACGACGTTTTAGGCGGGAGTCAAAACTGAACACTGAATTATTGCTTTTGAAGCTTCTTAAAAAATATTTATTCTGAAAGTATGGAAATTGAAAACTTATTATGCCTCTTCATAGCAAAATGCACTTATACAGTTGAAAAATGGCTTTGGAGAAGATTAATATATGTATAAACAATTTCGAATATCAGCGAATGTGCTGCATAATATACCGCGTCAAATCCCAAAAAATAAGCATTAATTTTTCCTAGAATTTCTAATCGAATGAATTCTTCCAATATAAAGGGAAAAAGAGAGAGTAACTTTTCGATTATGCAGTCTTTTAAATTTTAAGGAAGAAAGCTTTCTTTAGAATAGCAAAATCTCTTTTATTTATGCTTAAAATATTGTTAGCTTTCCTTCAGTGAGAAAATACGGCGAATTCTTGTCAAAGAAATAGAAAATTTCGTGTTCGTTTATCTTTCATGATGCCAGATTCCTACACTTTCTGAATAGCATTTGTCGTCTGCTGAAAATGAAGTAAAAGGAACTGCGCTTCAAATGTAGTGTTTTCCGCGCCATTAAAATTCATTGAACATATTAAATAAAGGAACATGTTCCGAGACTATTTCAGAAATATTTCGCAGTTCTGTCAAAATGTCAGCAGTCTCGTGAACTAGTAGATTTCCGCTTCCATAATTTTCTTAACAAATTTTATAAACTGAGAAAAATGTAAAATAAGAAATGGATTTTTTTTTTAATTCAGAAGAATATAAAACAAGAAACGGATTTCTTTTTACCAGGAGAAAAGCTTTCATTCAGAACTTAATAACTTTTGTCTGGAAAGTGAAGTTGGAAGAAAATATCCAAACCAATTCTTTCAACATAATCTTTTACATACTCCAGCTTGCAATTGGTGTTTTTAAAATATTCTATGTTTTAGTTGATATCCTGAAGAATATTCTTTATTTGAATATGATACTGAGGAGGATGGAAAAACAATGCATATCAATGCCTTTTTTTCCGTCAAACGTTTTAGCAGATACACAAATGAGAGGAATACTACACGATGAAACAACTAAATCTTAACAATTTTTGACTTCAGAATTGAAAGTCAGGTGGTGTTTCTATTGTGGCAGTACTAGGCTTAGTATACCTTATTTATCAAAGGCTTAGCTTACTTTGTTCTGGTAGTACATTTAGCTGCGGATAATAGAATAGACTGAGTTGAAACGAAGCATTGTCTCACAGACAAAAACTACGTAACAAAAGTACTCGTATTATATTTAAAGTAAATAATTATACACATCTTGTGTTCACATTTACAACTGAAGATCAATTGTCCGTTCTCCGTTTCCTGTATGGTTATTTACATGGTTTTCCCTAAGTGTAAGGTGAATACCGGTTTTCCTCAGAAAGTTCTCTACGAAGACATTATTTCTATAGGCAGATACGCTCTAGTGTGCTTTGTCGTAATTAAATTATTCATTCCAAACCACACAATATATAACTTACAAGCAAAAAAGAACACTACATTTGAAATCACCAAAAATATAGACTTTCATCCATTTGATATTCTGGGAAGAGATATGGATAGGACAACGCTCCGATTCGACTAAAAAATACCAGTCGATTATCCGAGGGTGGTTATAAGGTTAGAATACGATCTGATGAATAAGATACGTACAAAGTCTCAGAAATCTCCAGTGCGTTAAATGTTGAAAAATATCGGAGATTAAACAGTAACATGTAAGTAGATATAAACTTAAACATATATTTATGCTTACACACACAGCTACTTATTAAATTAAATACATATGATTATACATTTGTGTGTTTATGTTGAAAATTATTATCAAACTTCAACGGATAAAGTTGCAGAGACATTAGGTTAATTTGAAGAGCTGGAAAGATGAAAAATTAGCAACTGCCTTCGCCGGGAATCAAACCACGGACCTCTGGAATACCGGCCCAGCGTGCAGAACCACTACACCACGAAGGCACGCCAAGAAGGTGGGAGAAATACCTTATAAAGTAAAGGACACTAATTTGAATTTATACATATATAAGGTTTTTTTTCCCTCCCTCCTTATTGCATGCCTTCGTGGTGTAATTCGAACCACGTCAGGCTAATATTGAGAATATCCGGCGCTCGAATCCATGACGAGGTATTTCATAGTCTCTATATTTCCAGCTTCGACAGACCTAATGCTTCTACAGATGCATTCAGACGGGGAATTTTCATATTATTTTCCCAGATTTCTTTTAATGTCCTTGAACTGAAATTTTATTATCAAAAATATTACAAAAACTGAGTCCAACAGAAATTTAAAAAATTCAAATCATTTAATTGGTTTATGTTTATTAAACAATATTATTGGAGTATAACTTTTTTATTATTAACTTCTGAATATTTTTAAGAAAAACATATTTATATCCCAAACGTTCAACAAAGAATTATTGCTGAGTATAGTAATTGCAAATGAATTCATTCTTTATCATACTTTTGCAGAAAGCGTAAAGAACATCACAAAAAATAAAACACAGCTTTATGTTCAAAGAAAAGAATGGCGGGAATCTGTAAGCGCTACATCTGAAAAACGGAATATTAATTCAGGAAGTAAATTATCTCCAGCGTAATTGCTAACAGAAGAGAAATGAGGTACTTAAAACGTATACACGTAATGAATTCATAAATAAATGTGAGCTTACCCAAATGTATAAACTCGGCATAGAAACTTGCAATGGAAATGAATGGGATTTCAGTGAAGAAGCACTTACCTAAAAAGAAAAAACAAGATATTGTAATGCATACGTAAAACAAAATTATAATGTTGCGATTTTAGTTAATTTAAAGCTGCTAATATAAATTTCAGTTGGCGAAATCAATCATATTTTTACTTAAAACACTATGCTTTCACAAGGAATTATCTAAGAAATCGCATATAAATTATTTACCATCTTACCAAATGTTAACATTTAAGCTTTCACATTTTTCTTTTATTTACCTTTTTTTAACCCAAAGGAGCCTCAGACCAAAAATGTTATTAGAGTCTAAAACGGCATTTTGCCTCGAATCACTTTTCAGATAGTTGCCACCAAATATTATCGCTCTAAATCATATTTAAACAAATATGATAATGAAGTAATAATTAAACAAATATGATAAATAATTAATTTAAACAAATAAAATAATGAAGAATTTGCATGAGTGTATGCATGTTTCTCGCACAATGAAAAAAAAAATACGGTACCTAGAGCCATCAAATTTTGAATAACGTAGTCCTCTATCCGAATATGGGCACCTTGAAGCCCGAATTTTGAATTTGTTTTATTATCTATTTGGTATTTTTTAACGATTTCAAAGCGAGCAGTGGCAACACTGTACGAAATAAAACATTTTTATCTTTAGGGAGTGAGACTGTCTATCAAAAATTCTAAAGCTATGCTATTTTTAAATAGTTTTAGCGGCGTTGGGCGAAATGCTCTTCAAACGTGTATGTGAGTCTAAGTGAGAAAACGTCGCTTTGGGCGTAACATTGTAAGGATCCTAAGTTTTACTAACGTTTATTTTATTTTAAATCTTTACTATCACTTCTTATTTTCTACTTCCGGCCAGAATTAAAAGCTTTTAACTTATTTATGCAAATTTGTCTTGCTAACGCCAAGTACTTAAGTTGTGGCTTTTTGCCAAGCAAAGAGAGAGGAAAGAGTTATTAGAAGCAGGCCACTTGCCATAGTAGTTTCACTCGGTGCTGGTTGCCTTCAAGGCCAGAGGTTTAATCCTCGTGATAATTTTAAAAGTGTCGTAGTGTTAGCAGTTCTCTGTACTACATACGGCTTTTTGTTAATATACGGCCAATCTTGGAGTTAGGCACGGTTTATTAATCCAAAGATAGTTTAGTTAGAGTTTTAGTTAATTTTTTATATTCTTACGTTCAGACCACAAGTGGTTGGTCTCTGTATTCCGAAGTTCCGGAAATCATTGTAAAGAGAGAAAAATAAAGGGTTTCGTATACCCTTCCTGTGTGTATTGTCTACTTCACAATTTATTTAACATAGCTTCAATAAGCTCCCTGTTCCGAATCAGGACAGTTAATGTTTCCAAAGCAAGTAAGGTACATAATTTTGTTTGGATTGTATTCTGACTTGTGCTTCACAGTGTTAGAAACTTTTGTATATATGTATATAATTTTAATGTGAAGTTACGTTTAAAATTGTAGTATTTTTCGTATACTATAACATAAAAATCTAAAGACGGGAAGCTTTGCTTGAAAAACAAGAATACAGAGGCAAGTCTAATTAACACTGAGTAAATGGCTACGTCGCTAAATTGGTGAGATATCACCAAGCTAACGATGGCTTGCTTTGGCAACTACTTTCTTTCAGTATTTGTATAACTGTAATGAGTATTGTAATTGAATAACTGTAATTGATTCCTAAGCCTAACTGTAACCGTATCCGGCTCTCATATGACTTCCAGTTATTTCGAGAAGTAGAAGGTACTAGAGCATCATTTTCTAAGTTGCTGTTTAGTTATGCATGAGTTCGGAGTACTGAGATATCTCCGTGCCAACTTCGCTCTTTAGACGTGCTTTGCATTGCATTGTGTTTAACATTCTCGGTAGCTTGAAGTGTAATTACTGACTGTATTCTGTGATACTGGGAAGCGCTGTACGCGTATTTTTGAGGAAAGTTCCAGAACTGCAAATTGTTTATTTTGGTAAATATAAATTTTATCAAGCTATCATTTGTCCTGTGTGCTATCAACCCCGTACGTTATTAGCCCGTACGCACGCCACAATATTGACAGTCCATAACTAAGGGTAATAATTTGACAACACGTTATGATTACTGTCCAAGGTAGCTGTTAGGTCAAAAATACACTTTAAATCAGTTTTGCACTACAGAGTTATAAGCTGTCCAAAAGACCCCATTCATGAAAATTCCTAAAAGGTTTTTTAAATTTTATAAGTGATTTAGAAAAGATTTGCTTTATCTTCCGTTTTACTTCAGAGGGACAAAGACGATGAGTCAGCAAGATTCAAAAGTGCTAAGTCTCTGAAAATGTAATGAACATTTTAAAAACCTGTTTTTAATTATTACAACTCTCGCAAATTTTAGAATTGTTATTTCTGAAACTAATTCCGACATGGCAGTAGAGTTTTAAAAAATGTATACCGAAATTAATATATGAAAAATGTAAGTGTTGTTAATTGATTTAAAGATACACGAAATAATAAATTACTTAATATCAACTATGCAAAATTAAATAAGTTTTCCTATAAGTGAACAAACTATTTATGAGCTCATCAAAAGTCTCGAAACGCTTCTCAGAATGAAATTCCTTTGTTTATTAAATTAACTGACAAAATAAAGGCAGTTATTTCTGAAAAGATATTGTCTTGAAGTTCAAATTAAATATCACAGAAAAATATATCATTTCAATCTGTTATTTTCTTGTATTAAGAACCTTTAAATCTCATTAGTAGACTCAATTGGAAATTATCGAATTATGCAATTTTAAACCCATGAAGAGGCATTAATTTATTTCCAGCGGCAAATTTCAATTTTCATAATCATTTCCATAACCGGTATGCCATTTATTTAAAGCCACTTTGGTATCATAAACTACGCAATTTTTCTAAATACCCTGCATTTCAGAGAACTTTATTTCAAGAGTGCTGTGTTCGTCAATTCATTCATCCGCCATGCTGTTTATCCGTAATCGATTCCTGAGATCACCTTCGCCCAGAATCGATTAATCGAAGAGTGCCGCTCTTGAATCTTTAATAACGCTCTTAGATAGCGAGAAAATGTTTATCTTTGGAAGGAATGATAGGTTTTTACTTGAATAATAAACAAACGCCATTTATTTACGTTAAGTCGAGAGCTTCTTTTCGGGATAGTAGTGATACACGTGTCTTCATTCAAGTTAGATGAAGTTGTAACTGCAGCGGAGTAGGAGTATGAGTTTTGTTTTTCGCCGGATTAGAAATGAGTTCCTTTTGATATCATTTCTGCTTCATCTCTTTTACTGCTAGCATTTTATTCAATTCATCCCATTTAATTCATTCTGAATAGATATTCCATTCACGAAGGGCAGTTTAGAGTAATACCTGAACGCAAATAATTTGTTATCGGATAATTAATTGGTACTCTATCATTCAACAGCAGCAATTAATTTACAAACGTCTGATGAAAGCGATATGTTCTCCATTAATTGCTGATTTTTGAATGTGTATTACGTTCTCCGTGCTCAAACTCGTAGCTGGTAACCTTCCGTTTCCTCCCTTACTGATTTTCCATATAATTCTGCAAATACTTCTAGATAGTTAACGAATAAGAAATTGATAGAGTTAAACAGAACGCATGTTAAGTTTCGATCAAAACAAATTGCTTTTAGTGTTCCAAAAGTGTCTTTTATCCGAACTAAAAGACACAGGGTAATCCGTGTTCATACTTCTTTTCATATTAAATACGAAACATTCGATTTCGGCATGTTATGTTTGACGAACGAGTTATTTTTCAAACGCGCCCATTTATCAGCGTGCCAAATCTAATGTACGCGCTGATTTCAGATCGCGTAAGTTTATATAGTTCTATATTTCTTAAAACGCCATTGAAATACTAGTTTAATTTTTAAATCCTTTTTTATTTTAAATCCTTTTGATATCGATGAGTGAAAAATTGGGAATTGCCCATGACGAAAGTCTGCAATAGAATTTAGGGTAAAGTGCAGAATCACCAACTGCTTGACGCGTTTATAAGAATTGCACATACACGGTATCCATGTACACAGTGACCTATTTTCACTTAAAAAAAAAAATCCCAGAATTTCACAAAAATGGCACTGCGCACACCCTTGACTTTATCTATGTACACATCAACCTATTTTCACTTAAAAAGCAAAAGAAATTGGACAAAAATCCAATTGTTTTTACCCTTGTAAAATCGGCAAATAAATAAGTGGGCGATTCTGCACTTTACCGAGAAATTTTTCAAAGAAAAGGCACCATTCATTACGGAAAATTATGTTTGAACAACCAACGAGATGGAATTTTGCTTTAGCGATAACTCGGTAGCGAAATAGCGATGTAGGCATCCATTCAGTTACGTTTAGCAATTTTATATAAATTATAATAATGATCTGAAATAGTTATTTACTCTTATGCTTCCATTCAGTCATGTTTAGCCTTTTTTATATAAATTATAATAATAAAAAGTATTATATGAAATTAACCTTTCATCTAAATAAAACATCAATCTTCGATAGTTATTTACTATTATACTTCCTTTCTTGCATTAGGGTTGTCGGAATTATTTTTGGAAGTACTGGCATCAAAAATAGTTTGGCGATTTTTTACGGCCCTCAAAACCGAATAGTACCAAATTACATTGCTTAGGCTTGCGTTTTGGTTGCATGCGTTGAACTGTTTGCGTGTTCTAGGTCAAGAAGAACTGCACGGTTATGACAATTTTATTAATAATCTAAGTAAAAGTTATAAATCAATAATAACATTATGAAGAATATCAAGAACATGAATTCATAACCGGATATTATCTACACAAGAGCAGTATGACCTGTTCATGGGAGACATGGGCATTTAAAATTTAGCATAGCTTGTAGAGTCATTAGGTTACTTTGAAGCAGTAAACTGGAAAAATGAGCAATGCCCTCGCCGGGACTTGAATCTGGACCTTTCGAATACGCGCCGAGTGTACCACCGTTACACCAAGAAGGCCTGCTGAAGAGGGAGAAAATGTATACCCCCTTTTAA